GATGGTAGGAATGGTGAGAGATGCCCGAAGGTTGGATAAGGCGCGGGTGTATGTGGTTTAGGGTAGATTCACAGCGCATTCAAAACTGAAAGTCATTCATCTTGACATGTACGCATTCGTGCCCCTAAGGTTGTTCATCATATGACATCAAGGTGCTTATTCACAATCCAGGTCAAACAGTGATCCGATTATTCCGTAAACTTTCTGTTACATCTCTTTCCACTTTTCATTGTATTCAAGAATTTTAGCTTTTGCTTTAGTTAAAAAAAAAACTGTTTACATTTAATACCTTTAAGCAGGAAAAGTATATTCGACAACATTGATAACGACAAATTAAAAGCCTAAGTGTTACTTTATATTTATCAAAGATGCGTTATATTGCTGCCATTGACGAGGGCACCCTCAGCGCCCGCACCATTATTTACACCTCGGAGTTGAAGATCGCTGAAATCTCCCAGTTGGCCCACAAGCAAGTCACCCCTAAACCTGGATGGCTTGAACACGACCCGATGGAAATATACGAAAACTGTTGCAAGACCCTGGCCCAGGCGTGTATGAACCTTCGTGAAAAGGACAAGAGCTTCAAAAAGCTTGATGGGATTGGTATTACCAACCAGCGTGAGACGACGGTGGTGTGGGATCGTGATACGGGTAAGCCTTTGTACAACGCGATCGTCTGGAGTGATGCGCGCACGTATGATGTGGTGAAAAAGGTAACGAAGGAAATTGGTAATGACGACATGATGTTTGCTTCAAAGATCAACGGCCTTCCAGCGAGTATTTACTTCTCCGCTTTCAAGTTCCGCTGGCTTTTGGATAATGTTAAGGCAGTGCGTGATGCTCGAGACCGGGGTACTCTGATGTTCGGAACGATTGATACGTGGTTGATATGGAAGCTAAGCGGTGGCAAGGTCCACGTTTCAGACGTGAGCAACGCATCTCGTGTGTTTCTAATGAACCTGCAACGCTTGGAGTGGGATGAAGAATTATGCAAGAAGATGGACATACCGATAAGCTCTCTTCCCAGGATCGGCAGCTGCAGTGAGCACTTTTGTGATGTTGCAATTACCGATTTCGGTTTGCCCCAGGCACTCGGTGGCAGGACCCCCATCACGGGCTGTATTGGTGACCAACAGGGCGCGCTTGTTGGGAACATGTGCTTCGAAACAGGCGAAGCTGAGTGCACCTACGGAACTGGATGCTTCTTGCTCATGAACGTTGGGACCAATGTGAAGTACTCCGAGAATCGCTTGCTGAGCACCGTTGCATATAAATTTGGGAAGGAACCTTGTCGGTACGCCATCGAAGCCTCCATTGCCAATGCTGGTGCGACGGTCGATTGGATGGGCCGTAACCTCGGGTTCATTAAGCATCCGAAGGAGGTGGAAGGCGCCTGCCGGCGTGCGGGCGGTACGGATGGTGTGGTCTTCGTGCCGGCCTTTGGCGGGCTGTTCGCGCCCTATTGGGACCCCAGGGCCCGCGGCACGATCGTCGGCATGACCTACAAAACCAACAAGGCCAATATCATGTACGCCGCTCTCGAGGCCATTGCCATGCAGGTGCACGACAACATCCACGCCATGTGTGAAGACAGCGGCACGAAGGTAAACGTCCTCAAGGTCAACGGTGGTTTGACGAAGAATCAGCTGCTGATGGAGTTGCAGTGCGGTGTTCTGAACACGGATTTGATGGTCCCCGATTTCAAGGAGATGACGTCGCTCGGTGCGGCCATCTGCGCGGGGCTGGCAGTTGGTACGTGGAAGTCGACCGATGAAATCAAGGCTGTTGCCGCGCGGGAGCTCAAAGGGAACACCATTCGGCCATCATCCACGGACGGGGAACTTTGGAAGACTAAGCTTGATGACTGGCATCGTGCAATCAAAAAGGCTCGTTGGGCTAAATTATAAGACATTCTAAATACAATTTCTTTTTTTTTTTGATGAGTTTATTTTATTTTATATAAGTTTTTATTATTATTATAATTCAGTACCTTTAAATAGTATGAAAGCATACTTTATAAAGAGTCTTGACTTTTTCGAAAGTCTTGCTTTCTTCGGTAGGTTCACCTCTTTTTTAAATACCTGCATTTGTTTTAGAAGAGAATATATCAAAAAAAATTTTCGGAAAATATAAACAGTATCAAAATCAAGATTTTTTTTTCAGGAACACGGGAGAAAATAATGAATATCATTAAAAAAAATTACAATTCAGATTATATTTTATAACTCGATGTCATATAGCTACCTAAAATAAGACTTTCTAGTTATTCAGGGCAAATTTGCAATATGATGCAACTTTCTTTTTTTTGTGTGTGTCGTCGATAGATACTTTCTCTTAACCTGAGTCTTTATTGGAAGACAACAAATAAGTGATGTATTCATACTCTAAATAACGTCTTGTGTTTATTCACCACTTTTCGCATTATCTCTTCAAAATCTGTTTCTCTTTCAATCTTTTAGTCCTTTAAAGGGTCCTTGTATATTCAAAGTGTTGCGGTCCTTTTCCCCCTTTTCGCTTGTCTCTCTTCACTGGCGGGGAAATGGACTCTTCGGAATGACAGGGGAGCGATGAACTATAACCGATGCTGGCTATAGTTCCGGTTGTCATATGATTCGTCTGTACCGCATATCAAAAGGTGTATCTGACAAAGACGTTGGGCTAAGTGCATGTGTTACCGGTTTTGTATGCGTTCTCGAACCGGCTTGGGCCAGGAATGTCCATTTCCTGCTGACCCCATCTATAAGCTGCAATCGCTACCCTCTTTGCTAGGTGGTTTTTAACCCCCTCGCACAATGCAAATATTTTGGGTTAGTATTGTGAGCGAGAAGCAACCAAAATGCTTGACATGTTTGGAAACGTATGTGCGTCACGACTATTTTAGTTGTTTTGTGTCAATTGGTTAGATATGATTCATTTATTTATTTATTTATTTTTGAATCCAAATTATATACTATTATCTGTATGTTTTATTTAAAAAGTATTCAAATTTCAATAATTTAGTGTCTTTCTCTATTATTTATACTTGCATATATATTTATACCTAAAAACTAAGGATAAAATATTCCAATGTATCTATAAGTTATTCAATTTATTTTTATAATTTTATTTATATTTATTTACTTTATTTCTTTAAAATATAAGGATTATTACTTCTTCTGTTAGAAGTTTTTTACTCTATTAATTTTAAACTTTGTGTTTTTCGCTACAGTCTTTTGGCGATGTTTTAGTTTACGTTACTATCAACTTGTGCTGGTATTCTCAAACTATTAGCATCACCATTTTGACAATCTTATTTTAAAACGCTACACGTATCGTTTAAACACTTATGTATCTGTGGAGTTATGAAGGCAAATAAGAGGATGTATCACCTGCCTATCAATGTTCTCGATGATGGTCGCGGACTCTACGTTGCGATTCACATGCAAGAAAAAGGTGTAAAGCGTATATGGTACAACTTTCAAATATTCATATGAATTTTGCTTAAAATATTAGCTAATGCCGAAGTTTTGACGGTGTTGATGCGCTAGTGTCTTTTTGCACCCGTTACTATACTTTAGAGCCTCTTCACAAGGATAAGAAATTTGATTCAAGTTTTTAAAATCCTAATGGTTATGTTTTTATTATTCTTAAAGGTGGTACACTTCCTCCCTCCTTTTAATCTATAACATTTGCTTAAAAGTACGGTTTTTAATCGTGACTATTGATTCATAGTTCATGGACAAGGAATTACTGAGTACCAAGAACTTTTCTGGGCTTAACATCAAAATGTTCCTTTATAACTCTATATATCCCTCCACCTAATTTTTCTAAATCGGATTTTTATCTAAACTACGGAAAGACATGGTAGGCTTGTGTTAAACAGTACTTTAAAGCCTAACCGGTTTTTTTTTCATTGAATACCCTTATACCTGAAATTACGACTCGATATTCAAACCGGGCTACGCACTAAAAGATTTGTGAAACAGCGGTGGATGGGCATTGGATTATCTTTTCATTCCTTCACCTCTTCTCTTTGTCTTCACAACAGTGTAACAGATTCCTCATTCTGTACGCGCGCGCTTAGGATGCCATCCATCACATTTCGTCACAAATCTGGCAAATATGTTGGAACAATTGACATGGAGGGTCAGGTCCTGACCTGTCGCGAGATCCAGGAGGCTGTGGCGGCGAAGCTCTCCGCGCCGCCGGAAGAGATTCGCGTCTTTATGGCCGACAGCACTGATTTGCTTCACCCGAAGGAGGATATCCCCGCCTACGCCGTGGTGGATGTAGTTCGGCAGGTCTCTTCGGGGCCTTCCTTCGCACCGCGGCCACCGGGGCCGGGACCAGGACTCCCGAAAAGAGCCCGTTGGGAGGATCTCGAGGCGCCGGCGTCGCGGCTGGAGCTCCGTTCACAGTCGCTGACGGAAGAGGAGCGCCTCGCCCAGCTTCAGGCCGAGGTCGGCGTCGACACCGGCGTGGTGGATTTAGGAGAGCGGGGCCGACGCGGGCGGGGTGGTCCCACGAACCCCCTCCCCAGCTCCGAGGGTCACTGGAAGGAGGACCATTTCAAACCCCCTCCTCGGGGCTACATCTGCCATAACTGCGGGAAAGGAGGGCACTACATTCAGCACTGCCCCTCCGCCAAAGGCGGAAAGTACATGCGGATGCTCTCCCTACCAGTCGGGATCCCTGAGAGCATGCTGGTCGAGTGCGCCATGGACGACCCGGCGCCGAAGTTCATCACGAGGGACCACCGCTTGGTGAAACGACGCGTAGACGCCTCGGCCTTCAGCGAGGTGACCTTTATTTCAACCGGCTCCGGCGGCGAATCAACTAAGGTTGTTGAGGACTCCGAGGGAGACCCTGCGGCGGGCGGCGATATGGAGCCGAAGACACCAGGCTCCACACATCAGGCGGATACAACCTCCTCAGCGGATGCCCCCGCAGTCGAGGGGTCATCACGCGATCCCATAGATCAGGGAAACCAACTATCTAGAAAACTGGCTGCTTATAAGTGTATCGTTGACGGTAGGGTCTCGGTAGAGTCAATGAAGGTGCCATGCTGCAAACATCTTCTTTGCAAGAGTTGCTTTGACAAAATGGTAGAAGACGCCTTTGCTGAGACTGTTGATGTTGTTGACGGGGATGGCCTTTCCTGTCCCCATTGTCACGAACCTCTCATTCTTGATGATGTAGTGCGGGCCACAGAAGAGGAAACAGTTATTTCAGAGTTGCTAAAAATCTTTTGAAAATGAACTTGCTCCTGATCAAAATCTTTTGTGGGATTTCTTAACATGTTAGATCCCTTTTAAAACTCTTGAGATATTGTAATACTATGACTCTATTTTATCATTATTGTATGATGTCGTTGATTTAGTTGTTTTTACTCTGAAGGAATAATTTCTTGCATAACAATAATAAAAATGAAATGTAATTTACTCCTAGCAGAAGCAAGGAGTACTTCAATGTATTCAGTCGATGTGATGTCCCACGTAAAGTCCATCGTTTTTCTGCAGCAGTTAGTTATTATTGTTGTAGCAGTATTAAAGAATATAGCATATATACAAACGTAGATACATATATGAGTGCTTTCTTTACATTCGGGGCTTATGGCACGAATCCATTTGCCCCACGGTATGCCAAAATGGCCACCCAATCCTCCAAGTGCGGTTCCAAAAATTTCGTTTATACGAAGGTTCATGATGATCCGATGCCTGGTCCGCGACACCATCACCGTCAGAGTGATGTCCCCTGGCGAGACTCCTTTTCTTGGAATCGCATGCGCTGGATTATTCACGACTTTCGCATGTTCGGGCTCTTTGGCGCCCTGAAGAAGCACTACTACATTGGCGAATCCTGGCGCCGCAAGGACGAGAAGATCTTCGTGGGGAAGGATGAATTCGGCAATAAGTATTGGATGTCCTGGCGCACAAGTGGGTCGATGGGCACTCGTCTGGTAGAGCCGGCGGATCCGCATTGGTTTCGCGGCCAGTCCCCCTTCACCGCGAATGGGATTTGGCGGAAGTGGTTGCAAGGGAGCGTGGCACATACCCCCGCACAGATCAAAGCCCGTGGGGAGTGGGGCCTGAACTCCCGCGCGGGGATCCCAATGCCGTTTAATATCAAAAACGATAGCTGGTCGCCCATCAACTGGGGTATTTTCTGGTCTCGCGATCCGGCGTGGGTCCCGGGAGTTGGGAATTTGGTTAATCCGGAACGTAGGGTACTGCAGGAGGCCGGCTTCACGCGCTGGGTTCATAACCAAGGCCAGCCCATCTACATGCCGTTTTGTGGTGTGCATGACGTGTCCGACGAGCTGGTAGAGGAGTATTACCGCGGCCATTGGGCGTTTGGTCGATCGAGCAAAGGAAATGATCACGATGACTGGCAAAACTAACGGGGATTCCTTTTCAGGTTTAGCATTTTTTAGCATTTTGTTATAGGCAAGATAAAACTGAAACATGCTTTTGAAGTTGCATTTTTTTCTGAATTGTAGTAGCGAAATTTAAAAGTCCGTTTAATTTTCGATATTTTAGATAACATTTCAAGTCATTACTTTTTTTTTCATATTTTTTCTTTATTTTTTTGATAGTATTATGATTTTTCATCATATATTTGCTTATTCTACAGAATTTAAACGTTTAGAATCTCTGCCACTTAAACTAGCTGCAGTAATAGGAAAAAATATATATAAGGAGACACAACTAAGGACCATCTTAATCAATTTTATTGCTTAAGAATTTGATTAACTTTTGGTTTCTGGTGTTTCTTAATGCACTACCTCCCTTTCCGTTTTATTTTCATATTTTTATTTACATACCGTTTTTTCTTTCTTTTTTCTATTTTTTTTTCTAAGTGAAGAATTAAAGATATTGTTTTTAATTCAAAGGTGTTATAGTTTTTTATATAGCTGTTAGGCATATGTCTATTAAAGTGTCGCCGGTACATTCTATCAATGAACTTAGATGTAAACATTTGCGAGAAACAGCCCTTATAGGATTCTTCCTCGGGGGCTGCGCCATTGCCAGCCTCTTTCTGATACTCCACGCCTGGTTTGTATCTTATAATGTAGTTGAGTTTGCCTTTGGATCACATATTTTTCTTTTTCACGTTGTCTTCCACCTAACTGAGTTTTTGGTAGCATCTTCAATCGTTTCACACAACGTTCATCCCAGTGCTTTTATGCTTTTTCATTCTAAAGAGTTTCGGTTCGCGTGCGGTTCTGCATTGGTAGAGTTTTGGGTGGAGTCATGTCTTATTCCGAACCATCTGAAGCTTTTTGGGGAGGCACTTCCGACAACAGCCCTTGGAAAGGCATTGTGCTTCTGTTTTCGATTGAGTTTTCCAAGTGTCGTGCTGTTTGAGTTTCTGGCAACGTTTTGTTATATGATTCGTGTGGTAGCTATTATTAATTGCGGTTCTAATTTTTCCCTTGTAATTGAATCTGAAAAGCGAGACACACATATCCTTGTGGACAGTGGCTTGTATGCATACTTTAGGCATCCCTCATACTTCGGATGGTTTTGGCGGGTGATTTTTTCTCAGTTCGCTATTGCTAATCCAGTTTGTCTTATTTTTCATACAATAATTACATGGTATTTCTTTAAAATACGCATTCCTTATGAAGAACATATCATGGAGAGGGAGGATTTTTTCGGCAAGACATATACGAAATATAAAAAGAGTACTTTTGTTGGTATTCCTTTCATTAGCACCTGAAGTCGTTAGTTGTAAAATACATATTTACCCTTGTTACTAATAGTCATGTCTTCGTTTTTCTTACTCTACCATAATAAAAATTATACTCAATCTGCATCACTGTCTAGTTTATCGTTCATTTTATGAAAATTATGATTCATAATGGATTTTGTATTCATTTTATTATGATAATTGTCTACACCTATGAATGAATGCAAAATTGTATCTTGAAATTTTCCTTATTTTGGGTTATTATTTTTTAACGTTTTAGTGCAAACTAGTTATCTTATTCTGCTATATATCCAATAGTCTGATAAAATCCTAAAGTCTACTACAAATAGGATCACCTGAAAAAGTTCCTTAAACGTTTAATTGAGCTAATATTCATTACTATATTCATTTTTTGTTTATTCTGTTTCATACATTCTTATTTGAGCAATATATACCGAGAACTAAGTCCCTCTGACCTTTAGCATCTTCAACAGTATGTCAAGCAAGGGTCCGATATATCACCTCTCACACCATACACAATTATCCGTGTTGTTGGTTTTGACTATTGGAAATAATTCTCATTAAGGTCCCTTGGGCAACCTATTCAGTAAGATCGAATGCACATTGAAAGGTTCTCAGGGTTAATTTTCTTGACTTTTTTGCTGAGATGGATGGCGTAGGGCTGGGGCGCATCAGAAACTGGCGCGTTTTATCTTTTACACGTAGCATTAATTATAAGTTTTCATGGACATACTAGAAACAAAAGCTGTGCTTGGTAAGTTGAGATCTCGTAGAGGGCACATCAACCACATCGATGAAAGAGAGGTCATGGCTATCATCGTCGTTCTTAATGATTATGGTCTTCAAACTGAAAGCGAAGCGAAAATTATTGGGACTTTGATAAAACAAATGCAAGGGTAACTAACGTTGTGAAGCGGCTCCCTTTTTTTTTGTTTTATATTATTGCTCAGTGACATTATTAAACTAAAAGGATTTATTGTTATGCTGTATTCCATAAACATATACGGGAGTTGGAGGAACTAGTGGTCACTCATTTACGCTGCCACTTTTAGTTTCCACCCATTAAAGTCTGAACATTTGTGCATACACGCACATTAACACATAAAGACGCATATATATATATTCTTTTTTTTTCAGCCCAACATACTTCCATCCATTTTATTCATACTTATTGATACACTTTATTTGAATTTAAATGTGTATATTGAACTTTGAATGAGTACAAAGTGGCTATACTTTAAACTATATAATTCATCACGTCTTTTATTTGTATGAATAATTATTGTTCTTATTGTTGAATTTAAAGTGTGTTTTTTACTCTTGTGTTGTTTTCAAATGACTTGCTCGACCCAGACATAAAGAGTAATGCCTGTTTGAACTACTAAATAATCTAAGGGCAATAGAGGGTGATTCGTTTACCCTATTAATTTTCTTAACTATCGTCTACATAGACCGGTGCATATTTGTATGAACACGCGTCATGCTCGGTTCACAAACATGGATCGCCGTAGTTGGGGTTCCCAGTTTTATAATTGCCGGGTTTATCGCCTCGCGGAAGCGTTTAGCGTATCAGTGGAAGGAAGAATTGATGGATTTCGAATCGGAGGCTTATCCATCTCTCACAGATGAGCATATGCGATTTCTCTCTGGCATTTCGCCTGATTCGCTCGTTAGCGAAGCTGAGACTTCTGCGAACCCCAAGGGAGTTGACGGCGCCTTTGGAATTCCCCTTTCGAGGGAGGAAAATATTGGACTTCGCGTGGAAAGTGAGTTTTTAGCCCCTCACGAGGCAAATGTGTTTCTGAATCAAGTACGGTTGTGGTCTGAGAAGTTTGGATGTGGCTTGGATCCTCGCAAGGTGAACTTTTTCGAGACACAGATGGATCAAGTTCGGATTTCCGAAAGAGGGGATTCCCACACAGGAGATTCCAAGCCTAAAGCAGGGATGAGTGGTTGCTTACAATCATCATGGGCGTGGCTACGGCGGAGGAAAAGCGAAAACGTAGTAAGAGCGCTCTCTGAAGAGTTGGATAGCAGCTTTTTTTCTCAAATTCGCGTGATATCTGATCATCCGGAGAGCAATCAGCCTGTAAAGGCTCCCTGGGGAAGTGGTGATCACATGCGATTTGACTTAATGCCTGCGTCGCTGCGGAATATCGTGCATCGTGTGCAGAACGCCTGCCCTGGTATTGGTAGGCTTCGCCATGTCTACATTGAATACTCTCCTAAGGGTTCCTTTTACCATGAGCCGACCTCACCCAAACATTACGACGGTCATGATTACGTTATTATCCCGCTCCGTCAGAATACAGCGCAGATGGTGATGACCTTTTCTCCATTGATGCGCTCACGCTTTTCAAGCTTGCGGGATGTTATGCGAATGACTTGGACGAATCGCGATCTTGATTGTCTTCTACCGCATGGGAGTTTGTTGAGGGTGTGCGGCGTAGCGAGGTATGAGTGGGGGTGGAGTGTGCGACCGGGGGCGGTGTGGTTTGGCAGCCGCCTAAATAAGGTTCCACCTACGACCCCTCCTACAATTACCTCCTCTTCGCCTGGGATGATATTGACTTTTCTAAAATCCCTGCATAGGGTTGTAAGATCGCCATCTTTGATATTGTCAGCCTTTGGGGAATCATATTCAGATTATCAACAATCCATTAGCAGGTGCATTAAGGGGGTACAGCGCCAGGATAGCGACGCGGCTCTAATTGTGTTGCATTTTGAAGGACCAAGATCGAAAAAGAAGCAGCGTTCAATGTTTATGGAGCCAGAGATATTCATTTTTGGAAAGGCGCCGACAGTTGATACCTTTGAGACGTGGTCAGATAACCAACCTACTGAAGAAAGTGTTCGAAAGGTCGGTGTATTTCGCTTCATGCTAAGGAACTACTTCAATATGCTGGATTTCTAATAACTTCGAAATATGTCTTAAGCAAAAGGGGGAAATAGGAAAAATATGAAAATTAGATCATGTGGTGAGTAACTACTGCAAACTTATTATATATAAATAGCGTTCCTTTAAAAATGCGTTCATGATTAGTGCAATTATATAAATAGGATTTCTTCCCTTTTTATTTACCTTCTCCATGTCTGCGTGTGAGTGTGAGCTAAAAGTTGATAAGTGTTCACTTATATACCTATCATACTGTTCCCATCCACACAGATAACAGAAATAACAGGAAAGTATCTGCGATTGTTTACTAAACTAATAAAAGCTTTTATTTCTGTACTAAAAAGTACTAGTTACGGAGATAAAAATATTCCGCACTACCAATAACGAGATACATTCATTCCATACGAACTAAACCATTTAGGTGTTATTTATCCCGACACTTCGTCTTTCCTTCGGTCTAATCTCCACCGATGTTGTTAACACCACATTTTCGACGTGGGTTTACACGATTCGCCTTTCCGAAGCTTGCGGTGGTGACGCTCTCGGCATCCCCTGTAGCGTGTCGGCGACTTCATAACTCCTCGAGTCTGTTTTCATCCCCTTCAACCGGTGGTCGGATGCGGCGTGCGGTAGGGGTGTCGTTCACCCCACGTATCGCATCAAGGCTTTCTATCCCATCAAGGCCTTCCGTCTCATCGGGGCTTTGTAGCCCATTGAGGCCGTATGTCACGTTCGGCTCCACTTCCACCCCAGCCCTCCCTGTGGGGACGTCAACAGGAAAAGGTCGTGTTACGGAAAAGGAGGCGGCCATCTTGGGCTATCCTTACACACTTGTGGACACGGCTGAAGCCTTAACAGAGGCCGCACGTTGTCTGTGTCAGAGCAGTTCCATTGCGCTTGACATCGAGGCATTCTGCACGAACGGTGACACTAAACACCTGGGGGATATTTCCCTGATTCAGCTCTGTAGTGATGTAGGCTCGGTGGTGTATTTAATCGACGTGTTGGGGCTCTCACCCAGGCAGTGTCGGGAGCAGCTTCGGCCGGTGCTCGAGGACCCCGCGATCACGACACTCTTCTTTGACTGCCGGCGTGATGTCGAGGCGTTGCGTGTGCAGATGGGCTTAACCCCTTCCCGTGCACTCGACCTGCAGCTCCACTTCACTGCCCTGCAATGGCGGCTTCGGGGGGTGAACCGGCGGTCTGGACTAGGTTATGTCTTGCAGGATATCGCCGGGCTTGCGCAGCAGGCGGAGGGGAATGCCGCCGTCCACACAGCCATGACAAGAGGGCAGCGCGCCGTGTGGGATGTCCGTCCCCTCCCTGCCCACTTTCTCGCCTATGCCGCGGACGACGTCCGGCAGATTCGACTGCTTGGACCTGCGCTCGCGCGGGCCGGGGACGGAGTCGTTTCTCTGGATGCGATTTATTCTTTAACGTCTCTTTATGTTGACCACTACGCCCGCGGAGGCTTTGTCAAGGACGAGCCCGACGAGGGCTCCGCTGAGGTTAACGAGTCTTGGCTCGAGCGAGTGATCGGGCCCCCTGGACGATGTGCCTTTTGTCACGCCAGGGGCCACACCGAGGCGGAGTGTTTTAAGAAAAATAACCACCCCGCGCGGTGTAGCTTCTGCGGGGGTCTCGGACATACTTCGCGGAATTGCTACCAAAAGTACCCTCAGCTCCTTAAATGTGATCTGTGTGGTCAGGTCGGCCACCAGGCTTCCTCCTGTTTTAAGACTAACCCCTGCATCCACTGTGGTGGTTTTCACAATAGTGCAAACTGCCATCGCTCGTTGCAAAAGGGGTCGCACCACGCCGAGGCAGCTTCCAATCGTTCAGCTTTTCCGAAATAATTACGGGGGATCGATAAAATTGCTTTTCACAGATTATTCTCGCCTTTTTTCCTTTCTTTTGGAGGCGAATGCGTTTCATTTTGTGTGAATTGTAGTTGAAAGGTGGTTCAGTTATTGATTACGTTTTTTTATTGACAATTTCACAACCCATTTTTCTATATCCATATCGCTTTATATATTTATAAACGTTTATATCTTTATATAATTTTATATTTTCATTTACTTATTAGGACCTGCTAATTTTAGTTGTACATTGACCTATCAATTGGAATAATTGTACATGGGTGTGCATGCACACAAACCAAATCAATATGCAGTCAAAACCTTTAGAGCTTTTTACTAATTGACTGCAAACTATTACCGTTATAATGTTTAGCCGTACTTATTTTTTGTTGTTGTGACGACGCTGATTAAGTATATTCATTACAAAATTTATGGCCATTAGCTTTTTTCTAGAGTATAGAAACTATTAAAATTTTAAACGATTCTTAATATTGGTTGCAATACAAACACTCGGAATGGATGTTAGAGGCTGACAATATACATTTTTATTATTGAAAACAAAAGCGAAATGTAATAAGTAACTTTAACTATCTGTTTGATTTGTTTTGCTATATGCATTTCTCAGAATAAGCCCATGCGAATCCGGAATAATTCATTGTGAAGATTAATTTGCGTTTCCTTTTTATCCATATATATTTTTTACACTATTGTTATATGTTTTGAAATATGACATGTGCAGACCCTTCAGTCTTTGATTATTATGATTTACACGATGTCGCTATTGTGAGTGATGGAAACGTTCTCTTGCTAAGGTGTTGGTGCGACGGTCCTATCTCGCAACTTCGTGATAAGCAATACGTATCAAGGTCTTGAAGTAATGCTGTTATAAAAACTTATAATTCTTTCGTTACTGACTGAAAATTTTGATGCTTATTATTTATTGCTTAAAAACATTTGATGGCCGTGCACACGATATTTCTATATACTTCACTAGCACGCAAGGTCATTTCTTGAAATGTTCATTTTAATAAAATTTAGAAAGCATTTTTTCCCGTGTGTGTGTGTGTGTGGAGGGGGAAGAGGGGTAATTGGGTCTCTAAAATTTTAAGGATAATACGTCACCATGAAATCTCCGATACTTGCCTAGAAATCCATAGAATACAGTGTTGTTGGCAATAATATTTAAGAAGTAACATTCATAGCAATTCATAATACTTAGCAAAGTTTTCAATGTATTTTGAAGCGATGTCGATACCATTACAAGGTGCACTTTAATATTTCAAAATTATATAGGTGCAATATTATGTCTAAGCCTACAATGAGTCAATTAAAAAAATTCAGCTTTTTAAAACGAGCAAAAAGGAGTTTCATGAACTTGTGAGCTTTTGTTGTCATGGCCTATTTTCAAGCGCACTTTTTTAAGAACCCTCGTGTCCGCAACTCCTAGTGTCTTTAGTAGTTTTATTAACGTAGGCTGTACTATGATTTTTTTTATATAGACACTTCATTTCGTCTAGAAGGATTATCAACTAGTGATGTTTCCAATTTTATTTTTATCGGTTTGGCCCCTGATATGTGGTATGATTTTGCATTCTAAAGATGTTGACTGCTTCTCTAGTTCATTGTAGCCGTTTAATTTACCCGAGATCGCTTTTTCCATAACAGAAAAGATCCCGCATCAAATGCTTAAAATTATGTCAAAAACGTTTAGTACTAGATGCCCATTTAATAACATAATGACAATCACAAAAACAACTCCACACCACAAAGGCATCTGAATCCTATCAAAGCTATCAAATACCTTGTGAATCTATCTATGATTCATTTGCTTTTCTACCGTGTGCTTAGTGATTTATCAATTATATTTCTTGCGTCTGATCAACTGGGGTGGTTTACTACTTAAGACCCCACAGGACTCCTATCATAATGTTTTCCTTGCGGTGGTGAATTCCTTTAACGCTAGTCGATTAGATTTTATATTTAAAAAATCCAAGTAAAAATAAGGTCCTATGCGTCATTATTTTAGATTCTACTCTTTACTTGCCTTCCTTAATATTGGCTTTTTTTTAGTTAAAAAATATAGCGTAACGAAAATTAAATATTTTTATTTACTTGAAAAAAGACAACAAAAAAACATAGGATAAGTTTTTATGCGCCGTACATGCTTACGTTTCCAAGGGTTTTTTCAAAACCTAAAAAAAGGTACGGATAAATACAACCTTTTCACCTCACTTTGGAATAAACCAGATACAAAGGATGAGCGGATCAAGGAGTATATCCCCGAGGTCCTAGAAGAAAGCTTACAGGAACAACGAAGGGTCATTCAGGAAAGTACCACCCGTGACGTTATTGTCGAGTCGGGTCATAGAATACTTTCAGAAATTGAGAAAAAAAGCCCAACACCGAGTATTCTTCCGCATCTTTCGAAGATAATTCTCGAGTATGGAGCGAAGAATATCATTGCCCTTCGACCCCTTAGTTATTTACTTTATCCATCAGGATTAATGTCTAGTAATGATAGACAGCCCCATGACTTAATTCTCAACTTTGTCGACAATTTTCGAAGCCTGATCGAGGAGGTCGAGCAAAATGGCTGTTCGGCTCGTCTTTCCAAAGCACCATCGCGAATAATTAGTGCCGAGGGCGAACCCTCCCAAACTCCATTGTTCCTTTCCCAAACAAAAGACGACAACAAAGGGGAGGAGTGTGAGGAGAAGGACGAGAAAACCGCCAGAATGGCGTTGAATACGGGGCTTATGAACTCCACGGCTCTGAACGAGACCAATCTCTTAAACGAACCGTGCGACAATGCGGATGAGTCAAGCCGTGAAACGAAACATCCACCAAATGCGTTTTATGCAGAGCCGACGGACATCACTCTTTTTGTCCAGGTGATCACCGGCATGGCACTCGCCAACCTGCACTGCGGGGACATCCCCAACGCGATTCACTGCGTGGAAATAGGTATCAACCATGTGGTCGACCCTACCCGTCGGGGTGCGCTTTTCGGCCTCAAAGCCGGACTTTTAGTTCGCCAGAAAAAATTTAAAGAAGCGGTGGAAATTGCCAAGCTCGCGGTCGAAGCCTCAGACAACCCACAAGGGTACCTACACGGGGGCTACGCACTGCGCCGTTTAAACGCACCAAACGAAGCGATGGCACTACTGGAAAAAGGGGTGGAGAATCACCCAATGAATACGAGAATAGTCGCCCAGCTGGAGGCCGCTGAAAAGGAGGTCAGGTTGTTATTGCCAGTTTCCAAAGGGGATACAAATGGAAGCTAGAGTTCAAGCCTATCCTGGATTACTCACAGCAACAAATCAACCTAGGGGTGTTCCTTTTTTCCTTATTTTGCGTGATATTCTCACAAATGCACCTCGGCTACTATGCAACCCTTAAAAATAACCCCTGAATTACTGTAGAGTTTCTTGTCATTGTGATGAGTGCATGATTTCAGCGCTGCTTCTCTTTTCACGATGTTTACATTTAGGCTTAAAACTAAGCTTTATTAACAACACTACTCATTCACCATGCAGTTTGTAAACCTCCAGGATTCGAATTTTAAGGGCTCTGCTACCGATTCCTCGGGCTTGCATCTTGTAAATACGATCTCGGCCCCTAAATGCTTGACGAATTTTCACTACAGTGGCGGCGAGGAATCTTGCTTTTCGTTTTTTGCTCTGTTCAAATGTGAAGAAAATAAAAATAACGAAAATGAAATTGAATTTATATGGACTTATCCCTTGCAAAGTCATGAGGTACACAATAAATATAACTGGTTCAAGTCTTTCTTGATTGATGATTTGCCCAGGCCTAAGGAACCTAAGAAAACATTTTATACTGCTATTCTCACTGATGAAAACA